TGTGTGTGTGTGTGTGTGTGTGTGTGTGTGTGTGTGTGTGTGTGTGTGTGTGCGGTCACGCACGTGAGGCAGTCGAGAGTGGTGTTGCGTTTCAGCATCTCGGCGAGGGCCTTTGCGCCCTCGTCTTTGATGTCATTTCTGTCCAGCCTATGTACATAAGAAGAGAAGGGGAGATTGGCAACGACACAGGCATGACGATGAGTGACTAATGATGATGGCAACAAGGAAGCACTGGCCCTGGCAAAGTGCCAACGACTACCAGGGCGCGACTGATGTTCTCTCAATGCGTGTTACTCACTCGAGTTTCCTGACAGCCGGGTGTAGCTTGAGCACCTCTGCCAACGCCAGAGCACCTCCACGTTGGATGGAATTGTTGTCCAGGCTGTAAGTACCGCCAAACGACGGAACAGAGCGCGATGACAACGCATAGTGAGCGATCAAAGGAGTCGTACACAACAAGGACAGCAAGTAGCTGCTGCATCGTCACACACACACACACACACACGCACATACATTCTCACAGGCACTCGCGACTACAAGTCCTTGCTCAAACAAGGTTTCAACTGTACGTGTGCGTGCGTGTGTCCACATTCACCTGAGATGCACGATGGTTGTGTTGTGTTTCAGCATGTCTGCCAGCGCCTCTGCACCCTCGTTCTTGACGGAGTTGCTCGTCAGGCTGTGAACATCAAGGAAAAAGAATTGAGGTGGAGTTTGATCAATCAGAGGGCACATGCCGGTGACAAGGACGCTCGGTGGCAGCAAACTGAGTCGAAGCGGGTGGCACCAAAGTGTTGCAACTGAGTCGAAGCGGGTGGCTTCAATGTTCGCGGTGCGTGCGTATGTGTGTGTGTGTGTGTGTGTGTGTGTGTGTGTGTGTGTGTGTGTGTGTTCGCGCTCACTGGAGGTGCTTCAGGGTTGAGTTGTGTTTCAGCTTGTCCGCCAGCGCCTTGGCGCCACTCGGGCCGATGGAGTTGAATTTCAAGCTGCCAAAGGGTGTTGTACAACGCAGTGATAGTATGGTACGAGAATGTGAGCAATGGAAACGACCGGCTGGTCACAGACAACGACCAGTCACCGCACAAGACCTTGGCGCGCACGGCTGCTGTTGCCATGTTGAATTGAAAGGCAAATGGTCGAGTGGTGCATGCTGAGGAACACTTGCGGGTGAACCCTTGCGTTTGCACACTCACGAGAGGTGTTCAAGACATGTATTACGCTCCAGGGCCTCCGCTAACGCCATGGCTCCCTCATCGCTGACGGCATTCCTGTCCAGTCTGAGCACACGGGAGCGCAGGAAGAAGATGTGAGCACCTCGAATGCGCAAGAAGAAGGACGCACATGGCGACAGCAACCACAGCATGTGATGCCAGGCCAAGCAATCATGCGTGGCACACGAGATGCTTTGACATCACAACGTACTGGAGTGTTTGGAGGCAGGTGTTGTTCTTGAGCGCCTGAGCCACCGCACGCGCCCCGCTGTCGCCCAGGTTGACGTTGCCCAAGCTGCAAAGTGTGTGTCATGAGCAAGACAATGAGAGATGGCAAACGTGCTCACATGAGGGTGCAAAACCACGCCGCCAACAAGTTCCATTTGTTGGGGGGGGGGGTTGACGGATGAGCGCGTAGCATCGTGAAGTCCACACCAAGCAAGGCATACCAAGGGCACAAGGAAAGAACAAATGAGGCAGACAGGTGAACAAGTCACAGCGTCGCTTGCATTCCAGTCATTGTTGTTGGCTTGCGCTCACCTCACTGTGCTGTTGCAGGTGTTGTTGGCAATGGTTGTGATGTTGTCCTTCACTTCATCCCCCTTCTTACTCAGCTCTGTCCGCGCAAGCAACGCCTCCAACTCCTCCATCGCCGTGTAGGTGTGTGTGTGTGTGTGTGTGTGTGTGCGTGTGTGTGTGTGTGTGTGTGTGTGTGTGCGTGTGTGTGTGCGTGTGTGTGTGTGTGTGTGTGTGTGTGTGTGTGTGTGTGTGTGTGTGTGTGTGTGTGTGTGTGTGTGTGTGTGTGTGTGTGTGTGTGTGTGGACCTGCCTTCTTGCCTGTATCTGCTGTCCTTCCACAAACGAAAGTGCATCAAACTCCACCACTTTCTACACCAGCTTCTGTGTGTCTTTGTTGGTGCAGTGGGTGTTGCTGCTTTGCTGAGGGGTGTGCTTTGCCGGCCGAAACTGCCCCTCAACATCTGCATCGCTGGCAGACAGAAACAAGAAAGGCCAAACCCCGTGTGCTCTACACATGTGTGTGTTCTTCCAAAGTGTGGGTGTGTGTGTGGCGCTCTTTTAAAGAAGTTGTTTCCAACAACAGATGTTCCCCTCCCCCCCCAAACAAAAAAAACAAAGTGTTCGTTGTTGTCAAAAAAAAAAAAAACAGCAAATAAAAATGGAAATGTGCTTCTCTCTTATATTACTTTTTCAAACACTCAAAAAAAAAACCTCTAATTG